GATAGGAGGAAGAAAATGGATGGATGGATGGATGGATGGATGGAAAACAGTAAAAATAAAGTAAAGTAGCTAAAGGACAAATAAAAATAGACATTAATCACCATAAAGTAATAAAATGCTGTCTTAAAAACAAAAAAGGCTGGCTAAAATAATAAAATGCTAACCAAAATCAACAGAAGATGAGCTAAAATCAGTTAAAGGCTGGCTAGAAGTGGTAAAATGCTAACAGAGTAGTAAAGACTTGCTGAAGAAGCTGAAGGATAGCTTAAAGTATAAACTTTAGCTAAAAGCAGCTAAAAGGACAAAGAAGTTCTAAAATGCTAAAGACAGCTAAAGACTCGTTAAAARCTGCAAAGTTTAGGCAGATGTAGCAACAAAAACAACAACCAAATGTAGCAACAGCTAGCTAAAAAAAAACAAAAAAAATCAGAAATGCTAGCTGAAGGTTGTAGCTAAAAGCAGCATCAGGAGAAACGCGGAGCTGGTTGAGGTTTTATTTGAAATGTTTTTGAAGGAACTGAAACGTGTTTCTGCTGCAGCAGGTCAGATAGTTTMTGTTTAAAACACATTTTTATTTTAACTTTGTGTAAAAGAGTTCATTCATCCAGTCAGAAACAAACTGTGGGATCAGACGAAACAGTTTTTACAGGAAACAAACGGCTCAGGTTCAGGCCTGAACAGACCTCTATACTGGATCAGAACCAGAACCCATGTGGACAGATGTGAGTGTTTGTTTGAGCAGAGGGTGACTCATCGTCCAGCAGCTGAAAGGAGAACCAGGATCCAACAAGTGCCGAGCTGGAGGCCGGCCTCCCTCCTCCCCACCTCCTCCCCACCTCCTCTCCACCTCCTCCAGACGACTCAGACTTTCCTCCTCTCCTCCGAACCACGGAGCAGAACTCAGAACATCAGCCGGAGCTGAAACCACGCAGCAGAACTTCTCTCTTCATTCAGGATTTTCACAGGTAAACCTGATCCGGTTCTTGTTCTTTAAGTTGATCTAATTTCAGGGTGGGGTCGTTAGCCCCGCCCACCTCTCCTCACATGATAGTTTTATGTTTTCAGCTCCTGTTGAAACTTTAGTCTCTTTAAGGAAAATGTAACATATTTATAGGAACGTGTGTTAAATGAAGGCTGAAGGAAACGGTGATAAAATGTGAGTTTAGACGAACTTCCTCCATGTTTCAGGTGAAAATGGCCACGCCAAAAAACACTCCCCGAGGTGGAAACACCCCGCTGTCCCCCAACCGCATCACCCGGCTCCAGGAGAAGGAGGACCTCTGCAACCTCAACGACCGCCTGGCGGTCTACATCGACAAGGTGCGCTCCCTGGAGGCGGAGAACGCCGGGCTGCGCCTGCGCATCACCGAGTCCGAGACGGAGGTGACCCGGGAGCTGACGGGCCTGAAGGCCGCCTACGAGGCCGAGCTGGCCGACGCCCGGCAGACCCTGGACTCCGTGGCCAAAGAGCGAGCCCGGCTCCAGCTGGAGCTGGGGAAGCTGAGAGAGGACCACAAGGAGCTGAAAGCCAGGTGGGTCCAGGTGCTGATGGTGGGTGGGGGGGGTCCGGTAACTGCAGGGCCCCTCRGTTCTTTAAACACACCCCTGACATGACTTTATATCACAGGAACAGAAAAACCTGTTTAATATAAACTGCTGCAGCTTTACTTCAAGAAAAGATGCTCCACGTAAAATGAATTACCATAAATATTAGAAAAGACGCTTCACGTAAGGTAAATTACTGTAAACAATAGAAATTAATCTCCACATAAATTACAGTAAAAGTTAAAATACATGCTGCACATAAAGTAAAGTACTGTAAATACTAGAAAAGACCAAACCAGTGATTTTTACATTTTGATCATGAGACYTTTTCCCTGGAGGTTTCAGAAACTACCAACAAATCATTGTTTGTGTTATTTTTGTGTTATTTTSTGATAATCGTGGATCTTGTGCTCATCGACAGCAGAAGATAAACTGTTTGTTGAACCTGTTGGTTTAAGGTTTTACTTGTTAAACAGAATTAAATCCTGGAGGAGTTCAGGGCTTTTTAACAAGCTGCTGATGAAGGCACTCCCTCCTCATCCTCGCTGCCTGCTGCCACATTCAGAACCTCATGACTCAGTCTTTCCCTCCGGTTCTGGTCCAGAGCCGTCATTRTCCACGTGGCGCAGCCTCCTTTACTTTTCCATAAATACCCAGAAGCCCCGTGTTTGGTGGAGCCCAGGCATCGCCACGGCAACCAAACACCACGGCTGTGGTCTGTGGTCACCGGCGTCACGGGACAAACCGTGTGAGTCAGAACCACCAAAGGCTTTCCTCAGGGGCGGAGCTAGGGGGGTCCAGTGGGCCCAGCACCCACTCAGAACCACTCCCTGAGATCATTGTTTACTCACAGTTTGTTTGTTTTTATTTTTTTAAACCACTTCCTGTTTCTGAAATAAAACCACTTCCTGTTTCTGCAGGAACACCAAGAAGGAGTCGGAGCTGGGGGGCGCCCTGCAGAGGCTCAAAGACCTGGAGGCTCTGCTGAACTCCAAGGACGCCTCCCTGACCACGGCTCTGGGGGAGAAACGGAGCCTGGAGGTGGAGAACCGGGACCTGAAGTCCCAGGTGGCCAAGGTAAACCAGACCAGACTGAGTCAGACCCCCYGAGGACTCTTCGGCTTGTCTTCATCGGTTCCTGTCTTCTAGCTGGAGACGGGTTTGGAGGATGCCAGGAAGCAGCTGCAGGACGAGATGCTGCGCCGGGTGGACGGAGAGAACCGAATCCAGACCCTGAAGGAGGAGCTGGACTTTCAGAAGAACCTCCACTCAGAGGTCAGAGATCATCTGGTGGTCCTGCAGGTCTAACACCGGCTTATCCATGCTAGCTGCTAGCCTCTCCGATGCTAACACTAGCTCTGATCAGTAGCTAGCTTAGAGATAAATATAGCGTTCTGCTACCAGGATGTAGCCACCACTGGCAGGCCGTGGTCTTCATTCTGGTCCTCAGACCGCCCCCTGTCTGTCCACAGGAGCTGCGGGAGGTAAAACGRCGCCACGAGTCTCGGATGGTGGAGCTGGACAACGGCCACCAGCAGGAGTTTGAGAGCAAGCTAGCCGAGGCGCTGGCAGAGATGCGCGGTCAGCACGAGCTGCAGATCAAAATGTACAAGGAGGAGATCGAGAAGACCTACAACACCAAGGTACTCAGAGACCACGGTACCAACAACACCTGGTCCAGCTGAGGGGGTCTGAAGTCCTGGTGTGTCTGTGTCCCACAGCTGGAGAGCGCTCGTCAGTCGGCGGACAGGAGCAGCCACCTGGTTGGAGCCGCTCACGAGGAGCTGCAGCAGACCCGGGTCCGGCTGGAGTCCACCTCAGCCCAGCTGAGCCAGCTGCAGAAACAGGTGAGCAGAGGAGACCGCTCAGGTRACGTCTCCGTCTCAGAGGACAGTCCCAGCTGAGGTGTTTGTCCTGTCCATCCCAGCTGGCGGCCCGCGAGGCCAAGCTCCGGGAGCTGGAGGACGCTCTGTCCCGGGAGAGGGACACCACGCGCCGCCTGCTGGGGGACAAGGACCGGGAGATGGCTGAGATGAGGCAGAGGATGCAGCAGCAGCTGGACGAGTACCAGGAGCTGCTGGACGTCAAGCTGGCTCTGGACATGGAGATCTGCGCCTACAGGAAGCTGCTGGAGGGCGAGGAGGAGAGGTTTGTCTCAGCTGTCCTCACGTCCGTCCCAGAGACACACGTACTTACTGTGGTCCGTCCCTGCAGGCTGCGGCTGTCCCCCAGTCCTCCCCCCGCCAGGATGACAGGAAGTCGCTCCTCCACCTCCGCGTCCCGCCTGGTCCACAGCGCCGCCCGCRGCTCCCCGGCCAAGAGACGCCGTCCCAACGACACGGACAGCGAGGCGTCCAGCTTCACGGGCGGAACCGTGGCCCGGACCCGCATCAGCCAGCAGGCCTCGGCCAGCGGGCGGGTCACCGTGGACGAGGTGGAGCTGGACGGGAAGTACGTCCGACTCAGCAACAAAGCTGACGAGGTGAGCACGAAGACACAGCCGAAGCACTGCTGAGATCTGCTGAAGAAGATGAACATCAGCTAAACTTCGAAAAAGTAGCTAAATGCTAGCTAAAACCTAAAAAAAGTAAAAAGCTAGCTTTAATGTAGCAAAATATGGCTAAATGCTAAAAGTAATGAAGGGCAAGGTAAAAGCTAAATGCAGTAAAATTATAGCTCAAAGCTAATTTTAGCAAGTTAGAGCTGAAAACAGCAAAAGGATAGCTAAAATCTAATGAGTAAAAAGCTAGCTTTAATGTAGCAAAATATAGCCAAATGCTAGCTAAAACCTAAAAAATGTCAAATTTAATGTAGCAAAATAGAGCTAAATGCTAAAAGTAATGAAAGGCAAGCTAAAAGCTAAATGTAGTAAAACTATAGCTAAAAGCTAATGTAAGAAAGTTACAGCCGAAAACAAAAAAGCAAAATTCTAGCTTCAATTTAAAAAAGCAAAAAGCTAGCTAAATGTAGCAAGTATAGCTAAAAGTGAATGGTAAATTATAGCTGAAAACAGCAAAAGGATAGCTAAAACCTAAAAAAGTAAAATGTAATGTAGCAAAATATAGCTAAACGCTAAAAGTAATGAAAGGCAAGCTCAAATGTAAATGTTGTAAAASTTAGCTAAAAGCTAATGTTAGCATGTTAGAGCTGAAAAAGGCAAAAAGACAGCTAAAAACTAAAAAGCTAACAAAAGCAAAAAGCTAGCTAAATATGAATTCCTCCACATGGGACAATAAAGKCTGTTTCTATTCTATAGCAAGTGTTTAAATGTATCAAATATAGCTAAAAGTGAATGGYAACAAGTTATAGCTGAAAACAGCAAARKAATAGCTAAAAYCTAAAAGAAGCAACATGAGGAAAACTAAATAAAAAAGATTCTTTATAGAAGCTTTTAGCTTTTATAGAGCAGCTAATAGCAGAAAAATACAGTAGCTATAATATAATGTAAAAGTAGCAAAAGTATAACTCTAAATGTCAWAAGCTAAGCTAAAAGCTAAGAGTATTGAGAGGGCAGCTATAAGCTAAATGTAGCAACAGTATAGCTAAAGACTCTGGTTCTGCTGAATGTTTGATCCTATAATCCTCATCTGGTTCCTGCAGGACCAGAACCTGGGGAACTGGCAGCTGAAGAGGCAGATCGGATCCGGCRCCCCGATCGTCTTCAAGTTTCCCTCTAAATTCACCCTGAAGGCGGGTCAGAGAGTCACGGTCAGTCCCTTCAGTCCTAAACCAGAACCACAGACCCAGTCCCAGATCTTCTGACCTCCTGTGGTCTCTTCGCTCAGATCTGGGCCTCTAACGGAGGTGGAGTCCACAATCCCCCYTCAGACCTGGTCTGGAAGACTCAGGCTTCTTGGGGCACTGGAGACCAGTTCCAGACCAGTCTGGTCAGCGCCAGCGGGGAGGAAATGGCGATGAGGARGGTCATCCGCACTCACTTTGAAGATGAAGATGACGACATGGTGAGAAGATCTCAACACAAAMTCTGAGATACAACAACTGTCTTTGGTCAAATCATGATCGAACACCTAACAGCTGGGCTTCATCTGTAGTGTTAGTAAAATATCTCATGGACACATTTTATAAAATACAGAGCATGGGTCGAAAATAATGGATGGATGGATGGATGATGGATGGATGGTTGTTTTAAAAACTGCAGTAAATTGTTCCACAGTTTCTACAGAAGCTCCTTTAAGTCTTTTTATTGTGAAACATTTCATGTAAAAACCTTTAAAGCTCGTGATTAAAACACCAGTTAGATGAAATAAAAACAGCACAGAACCAGCTGCACAGAACCAGCTGCACAGAACCAGCTGCACAGAACCAGCTGCACAGAACCAGCTGCACAGAACCAGCTGCACAGAACCAGCTGCACAGAACCAGCTGCACAGAACCAGCTGCACAGAACCAGCTGCACAGAACCAGCTGCACAGAACCAGCTGCACAGAACCAGCTGCACAGAACCAG